GGATCACTTTTTAAAGTCCTGGAATTCAATATGTGAACGGCTCCACTGCCAAAGCCAACTGCCAGGTATATCCCTGTCCAGAGACAAGGAAGAAGAAGAAGAAGAAGAAGAAGAAGAAGAAGAAGAAGAAGAAGAAGAAGAAGAAGAAGAAGAAGAAGAAGAAGAAGAAGAAGAAGAAGAAGCAGAAGAAGAAGAAGAAGAAGAAGAAGAAGAAGAAAGAAGAAGAAGAAGAAGAAGAAGAAGAAGAAGAAGAAGAAGAAGAAGAAGAGAAGAAGAAGAAGAAGAGGACATACTTTATTTATCTCCAACAGGGACATCTTTTCACTCTGTTTGTTTACACACAGGACACACAGGCTTGTTATACATGCACAAACAGAAGCATATGCAGGATAGGAGAGGGGGCCTGTCAGGAGTGGAAGGGGCAGCCAGTTAGCCGGCACCCAGAGCTTTTGGGGTTCAGTGCCTTGCTCAAGGGCACCTCGGCAGTGCCCAGGAGGTGAACCGGCACCTCTCCAGCTACCAGTCCACACTCCGGATTATTTTGGCCTGATCGGGATGTGAATCGGAGACCATTTGGTTCCCGGCTAAGTCCGACTGAGCCACTGCCGCCCAACAAGGCTGGTGTTTACATAGCAAAACACAATGGCAAATTCCTGCAGCTACTGGCTGGTAATATGCAACATGTGTTTGTTACAAAGAGAGTCAGTAAGCAAGTTGGCTAACCTTGAGGGTCAAAAGTGACACACTGAATCTTCTTCTCTGTCTCAAAGACCCTGCTGCAGAGGATCACTTTGGTGTCAGAGTCCCACACTTTTAAAACACCCTTATGGTTGCCAATGGCCACGGTTGGCTGCTCAGGGTGGCAGGCCACTGCATGTATAGGACCACATTCTTTGTGTAGCAGGATGTCGAGCCTGCCATTCTGTGTATTTACATGTACCACTGTGGAACTGACTGTGGACACAACAAAGTTCCTGCAGAAAAAGAGAGGTTAGAATGGATTCAGAATCAGATACACATAACATCAAGACTGAAGACATAATAGATTGTGTTTCCTCTACCTGATGATCAAAGGTTTCGCCTCCACAGTGCAGTCCTCTAGGTATCCCTCTGTACACTCTTTGGAAAAGGAAATGGAAACAATAGCATCCAGGTGGAATTTAGTGTACGAAGTGAGAATCAGGAATTCTTCATCGTAAAAGTTGATGTGGCCTTGAGTGTCACCCGTCACGAAACAGCTGTGATATCACAAGACAAACAAACAAAGAGACATTAAAGACAAAATACATGACACTTTTCTAAAACATTATGAATATTATGTTCTGGCTACCTGTCAGTTACAGTGAGAGCAGTGATCGGGTGCTCCTGAATGGGAATCAGCTTGACTGTGTGGAGGCTTTGGTTTGCAGCTAAGTCTTCCTCCAAATCCCACACCACAATGCTGCCTGCTGCAGTCGCTGTTATGATTTCAGGCTTGCTCCAGTGGAACACAGACTGGCTCAGTGACCCAGCCATGAAGGTTGTCTGAGAAGTGTTAGAAGAAGACAGAAAGTATCAGATCCATGGAAAGCTGCATCATCAGACTGCAATGTTGAACAATGATGTATATTTATCAAAAAATGATTTGCATTAAAAGTCAGAAATATCTTCGATAATTTGATGGCAGCCTTTAAGAGATTTTGATTATCATGTCACCTTTTTAGCCTTCAGTGCAACGTATTGAAGAGCCCCAGGGGTCTGAAAAAGACCAGATGATTATCGCAATAAACACACCACATAACAGCTGGATTAACTGTTTAAATTAAAAAAGAACAAGTAAAAGCAAGACTTACCCTGCTGTAAAACAACACATGGCTTTCACTGCTGCTGAGCAACTGAGTGCTATCATTTGGATTAAAAATGATGTAATCCTAAAAAACAATCCAACATTTAAACATTTGATCTGCTGAATGCAATATATCTAAGATAAGGTGGCATTCAATTGTTAGAAGAAGTTACCTGGAAACCATGTTTAGGATCGAGTTCAGTAAACCACAAAGGCTTCATGTTGGTCATGTCTGTTTCATTTGTCCAATCCCAAATATACACACACTGTAAAAATAAATGTCAAATGGTTAATAGATTGTGACTAGATGGTGGTGTTTGGTGGAGCTTCATTTAAGAAGGTCAACAGTCCTGGCTGTCATTTCCTTTCATCATAAATGAAGACCAGAAGGTGATACTTTGTATAACAACAGATATTATTATGTGTCTCCGTTTTTTTTTTATGGATTGTGTAATTTACAATCTATATTAAATAACACTGTTAACTTTATTTGTTTAACTGCTGTGATACTCACTTGAACTTCCTCAGCCCCAAGGGTTACCAGATGCTTCGTGTCTCTTGAAAACGCCATTGCCATGACATCACTCTTAAGGTGGCATTCAAACAATGTATGTACAGGAATGCTGAAACATTTATCATTAATGTGGTTACCATTTAGAGCAAAGGTTAATACATAAAAAGCCTTTATACATGTAGAATAAAAAGCTACCCAGAGTAGGAGTCCCATATGATCACTGTGCTTTTTGGACCCCGGTCTGCTGTTGCAATCCAGCGTCTGTCTTCACTCACACACATAGTTGAGATGGGATGGCAGTGACCCTGAAATAATTGAGTATATACAGAAGGTTATTTGAATCAACACTGCAACCTGCATGATACTTGTGAAAAGATTGCTGTAGCAGTGAAAATATTCAGATCCATAGGTAAATATAAATACCCCACTACAAAAATAAATCCTTTACAATAAGATTCCTACATTGAAAATGCAACTTAAGTAAAATAATGTAGTATTTATCAGGTGAATACTCAAATTAAATGCATTATGTATTATATCATTGGGTTTTTATTATGCATACTATAATTTGAAAGCAGGATTTTACTGATGTAATGTAGCAATTAATTAATATTATGTTATTATTGATTAATCTTGTTAAATTCTGAAAATAGTGAGAATGTTTGCAATAATCTTAATTTGTAAATTAACTAGTAAACAAAGCTCAATAATTGTATTTGGGTTAAAATTAGACTAGAATCTTCTCTACAATACAAACATTTCATTAGACTCTGAGCTGCATTGGAGTAGATCTGGATTGTGGCATTATGAGAAAAGACTCAAGTAAAGAATAAGTACTTGTAATGTGTACTTCAGTACAGTATCTGAGTAAATGCTTACTACTTAAATACACCGCCACTGTCTGGAGATGTTTACCTATAACTTAATCTAAAGGACGCTGTCTCGTCTCATTTTCATAACATATTCCATTAAGTTGTAAACTGTTTATTATGTTTTACTTGAAGTATGTGCTGGGAGTTGGAGGTGTGATTGTAGAGGACCCCGACATGAGCTCCAGCATAGAAGACCACCAGCTGGCCGTGGTCTTGCAGACAGAAGGCAGGCAAAGCAGGATTCATCCCAAATACCCATTCTAGGGACTGAATGAGGAGCAAAAGCAATTGTTACTACAAGTGCAGAGGGTAAACATAAAAAAAACATTTATTTTAGTAGAAATATAGGTCACCTATATTCGACAGAATATGCTTACCAATGCATGAGTTCCATTATGAGTAATCTTCTTTGGGAACAGTGTGTCTCTGGTTGCAGTGTAGACCTGAGACTGCCTCTTGATCTCAGCATCTGTTTCTTCTCTTCTCAATTCTAAACTCTCCGTGAATTCTTCCTTAGCCTCAGCACCTGACATGATGATTAACCTCTCACTTGTTGAAGGTTATTTTCTCTTTTTAAACAACTTTAGAGAACGTCTGCCATTGTCCTGTCCTCGAAGTCTCTTTTTGTGATACGAAACATACTATTCGAAATGTAAACAGAAAACACATTATCAGGTCCGCTCTTGAACAACTGCCTCATTCGTGTCGAACGCATACACTTTTTATTTGGGTTTAGCTGGTAAATTTGATTAAAAAACCCCACAATCTCTATAATTTTGCTAGCTCCTGCGAAGCGTTTCGTTGCCTGGTTACCGTAGCGAGGTTGGGGAATGAAGGAATTGTTTCCTGCTATTCCTTTCAAGTTAAAAGCGCGATCATTTTATAATCAAATAAATTATATCAGACTTCAACATTTGGCTTTAGTTCGCTTTACTCAAGTGAGTGAGAGAGAGTTTTAAAAGTGCAGGCCTTGTCTGTTTTATTTCAATGTATTTATCACAGAATCATTAGCTTTCAATAATGATGGTTCTCTTTTTAAAACAACAAAATAGTGATGCTTTTTTGGTTGAATGGACAGATAAAATTCATTATTCAAAAATATTTCATCAAAACAGACACTAAAATGACAATGAATGCAGTAGTTAGCTTAAAAAAGCACTTATAAATGTTTTAATTTAATAATGTAGATACAAACCGCAAACACTTAAACAAATAATTGTAATTTTTTTCTGTTTTGGTCATTTTTTATAACTACCGTTATGCTAGATACGATATTATAATAAAACTTCTGGTTAAAACATTAAAATATAAAACTTGTATAAGAGACATGGGTGTAGTCACGCATTGTGACCACTAGAGTGTAATGTAGACACGGGACTGTTTTTTTTTTTATAAAAACAATGTTATTCTAGTGAATTTATTTATTAATTATTATTTGTATTTTATGTCATTGTATTCATTTATTTATTAATCATTTGTACTGATGCTTTTCAATGCTCTGGGGACAACCCCAGAAGTAAAAGTCAAGGCAGGCAAAAGCAAATAAAGATTTCTGGTACAGATTTTCAAAACAAAATACGTATGTTTCAATTAGAGAGAAATCAGGTTATAGCGATTACGGAACGTGTTTTTATTCTATATCTATAGTCTTGGTTGAAGGATAAGTGATGCTGACTTGATGTTCGTGTTTTGGAGGTAAAAATATCGTGTTTACTTAGGGAACAGGTAACATTTGTTGCGATATCTTTGCTTTGAAAGGACGCTGCCTGGTCGATTACAGCTTGCAACTTGACTTTTTATTTCCCTCAATACTTTCCGGTTGCACAGGTTTGAAATCAGCTGATTTTGTCTGCGTTTCTAATTAGTTCACCGTGAAGTTTACCTACCTTTGTTTAATTCTTATTTAACAACATCTCATCGACCTCATCGCTGAAGATTATGGTTTTCATGTCATACTTATGATGAGTTTGTGACAGTTAAGAAACCAGAAAGGCGACACTGCGATCAGGAAGCGGCTAACTTAGTTATGATGTCACCAGCTGACAGGTGAGGAGGCATATCAATAACTGGACCTTATCATTACACTTATTTGCTTTTTACCTGCGACACAAGTTAAATTAGATTATACATTTAACTACAATAGTTGTCAGCTTTAGCCAATCGGCGTTAGCTAACAGCCATTGGTTCTTATCGCAAATCCCCTCAGCTGACAGGCAGCTTTTTACTGTTAGCTAACAACTTAGCCAACACTCATGAACACAGTTTTGTATAGGAAATGTAAGCCTGAGTTTCAGCTTATTTTCTTACTAGACTGCTGACGCTTTCATGTAGTATTAATCATTTGAAAACTTTTAGGAAAAGACTATTATGGACTTGCATGAAATAATTAGAAAGAGGAAATAAAAGCAACAGGAGTGAAAAGATACAAAAACGTACTTTCAATTAAACTTTGCATGTTTAGGTAAAAACATTGATACATTATTGGATAGTATTTCCTTAAAATGTATCTTCCTTAAATCAATATGTTTTGCCTGAGCACAAATCTTAATTTTTTTCAATTACTGGATAACACACTATTTGGTTATTTTCAGTACTTAGCTAAATATTAAATGTAAACGTATTTATATACGCACGACACTATGTTAGTTGTCAAGTGCTTTTGGTTGTTGTTTTCTGCTGTTTATAAAAGAAGCTGTAGTTTTTATTGAAGCAGAATATCTACATTTTTAAACCAGTTCAAGCTAAAAATACAAAATGTCATCCCTTTATGACACAATGTAGTGTAGTGTTCCTCGGTTTTAAGGGCTGAATTGCAGCATTGTGTGTCCTAAAAGGCTGTCTAGATGAACAAGTAAGATGCCTGAGGTGATGTGCCAAGTTGAATTCAACTTTAAATATGAATGTTTTGTCCAATAGGCGAAAGTAGTATATGAAAGAGCTCCACAATGTCGACAGATAAGCAAAGGGGAATCCACGTTTCTCAGGAGGAGCTGCTCTGCAAGAATTCCTGTGGGTATTATGGAAACCCTGTGTGGCAAGGCTTCTGCTCCAAGTGCTGGAGAGAGAAAGCACGTATAGCTGGAGCTTCTAGGCAAGACACAAGGTAAATAGAAATATTATTAAACAGTCATTCTGACTCAAAGGAGCCTTTTAGATCTTGATATATTTGCCAGCAGTCATGTAAGTCACATCTGAAAAGCAACACGTGAAAGAAACGTCATAGTTACGACCTTAATGACTATTGAAGAAAACAGTTTCACATATTAATTAATTACACATTTATGGGAAAATTCAATACCATACCTAGTAAAGTTCTTACTTTATAAAGTTCATTGTAGTACCAACTGGATTTGTAAGGGTAACTAGTATGTCATAATGATATAATTGCTGAACATAAAATAAGTAACGTACGGAACATAAGTGCTTTTGGTTTGAACTGTCTACAGATTTGAGGTCTTATGTTGTCATTCTTTGTAGGCCGAGCAATGATGGAACTCCTCTCACCTTCTCCAAATTTGAGGAGAAGAAAAGCACTGAGAAAGGACGTCGTATTAACACAATGAGGAGACTCTTTTGGGGCAGCCCATCCCCTCCTAAACTTCAAGGTACTTCTGTTTGCTTTGTGTCCTCTGATTCATTCTCTGCAAAACAGTATCTGCAAGCTACTCCCAACCAATTTAAGAGACCTAGTAACAAAGGTAGAATATAAAAGTGTAACCAATGTGTAGCTTCGACTGCACACTGCTGCATATATATGTTTTATTATCCTTAAAATAAATTCAGTCAAAGTTAAAACGCACCTTGATTTTTATCTGCGCCATAAACCAGCACATTTAACATTACTGCTTCATGAGCCATAGACCAAATATTCACAGCAGATAGCAGGTTTTCAACCTCAAAGGATTCTGAAGGTATCTGCTGTGAATTTTGTCCGCTTGGTGATTCATTTTTTTATATTCTCTGAAAAAACGTTTTGATTTCTGTTTGTAGCACTTAAAGGGGGTGACGTATTTGAATCCAATGAAGTAGCACTTAAGATTGGTTTGCTTATTGAAAGCTAATGTGCTTGAAAGATTCAGGCGGTTTTTGGTCTCTTCATGGTTGATTACTGTAAATCGCTTTGGATAAAAGCTTCAGCTAAATTAAATGTCATTTGATTTTACCAAAAGCAGTGACTGGGCCGGAAGTCTTTCAAAAATCTGACGCCATTTCAAATATGATATTAAGTTTAAACACGTGTTTATTTATTTATCTAACAATAACATACACCTCTTATCCCTCTAGAGTCTTCTGAAAGCCATGCTAATGTGCTAAAAGCTTACCAGAGCCTCGGGGCCGGGGACTTCACCGGTTTCCTGAAGATACTAAAGAGCCCTTCCTCACAGCGCTTGCAGTCCCGATGTACAGCCTTCCTCAACACAATGGAAGCTTATCATGTAAGTAGCTGTTTAAACGTTTGACAATACACTTATTTTAACCTTTCTTTGAATGGCCAGAGCCGTTCTGATAAGTGGCTTCTCATCATCTTTACAGGATCTGCCGGTACAGAAGCAGTCAGATCTCGTGCAGGATTTCTACCAATCCTTTGCTGAATATTTTAATAGTGAGTCAGATTAATTCAGTATTTCTTGTCCTGTTTATTCTGAAATCAAAAACATTTGAATGACTTATACATTTTAATAATATAACTGTATATGTTTATTTTAATTTCAGGTTTTCCTGAGGCTCAGGTAACTCAAATAATGGAGCATGTGGAGAAGCTAATAATGACCCGGTTGCACAAATGGGTTTTCTGCCATGACAGCTGTGATGATGAACAGAAGGACCTGGCTCTCCAGAGAAGGATACGGTAACCCTTATATACCAATCACCTCTGTTGATTTATCAAAACCTCTTACCTACAACCCTGTTTAGACCATAATGTCTTTACTTTGCAGCTCTTTAAACTGGATCACTCCTCAGATGCTGAGCGTACCCTTCCCTGATAAAAAGATTGAAGTCACAGGCGACCCCTTCCTGCCTGCTATAACAGGTGATCACAAGGACTCTTTCGTAACTTTGGGAAATATGTTTATTGTTTTTCTGGAGGATAGTTAGCTGAGAAGATCAATATAACAATCACATCAGATCTGAGAGAAGGGTAGGGAAGAGCGAAACAGGACAAACTGACTATGTTCCTTTTCTTAGATTAAGTGTATTTGTATTGATCTCCATGTACCTCTTGAGCGGAAGTATATTTCCAAACAATAATTCCGTAAATGTGGTTGGGAAAAGCCCTTTTTTTAAGCTCATTGGAGAAAGTAGTAGGTTTCCCATATACTGTTAGCATCACTGGAAGGTCTGAAGTGCTAGCCTTTGATATTTCGTTCTGCCCTCTTATTTCTTAACAGCCATAATTGAAATGGATGCCAAACGAGCGCCTCAGGACAAACTTGCATGTGTGTCCAAATGCAGTCAGCATGTCTTTGAAGCGCTCTCCACCTCGAACAGTGAGCCCGCTAATGCTGATGACTTCCTGTCAGGCTTGGTTTATGTGGTGCTGAAGGCCAATCCACCCCGCCTACACTCGAACATGCAATATGTGATTCGCTTTGGTCTTCCTCACAGTCTGATGGCAGGAGAGAGTGGATACTATTTCACTAACTTGGTAAGTTTATTGCAAAGTGACTCATCTGGTGACCACGACAGGATGCTGTGGAGCGAGGTCAGTTATGCTCACATCTTTGCTTTTTGTCCCCTGTCTTAGTCTTGTGCAGTGGCCTTCATCGAAAAGCTGGATGGACCGGCTCTCAACCTCAGTCAGGAGGAGTTTGAGGGCTACATGCTGCGTCAGCGTGCTCCTTCTGCAGGAAAGAGGCAGCGGGTTGTCAGTGACACACAACATCTGTTAGAAGAGCTTCAAGGCAGACAGGAGAAGCTCGACCAAGGGATGGATTCTCTTAGTGTGCAGCTACAGAGTTGGGTCCATGCTGTTAATTCACAACTGGATGAGGCCACAGCTCAGTTTGCTCTGGTACAGACGGAGGTCACCGCTAAGACTGAGTCCTCACAGGTTTTATCATCCTCATCTCATGATGCGTTACTGCAAGGTGACGATAAAGACGAGTCTGTGCTGAAGCTTATGGATCAACATGCAGGTCCACAAGATACAGACTGTTAGTTGTATTTAAAAAAACACCTAATCTGGTACTAAGCTCTTTTTAATCAGCATTACTAACGAAACAAACAGATTTATATTTCACACATTCCAACTACAGAAAACCGGGATTTGGAAGCCAGTTGAACATGAAGGAAAGCTTTTTGAAGGGAACCTTTTGCATTTGGTATCACGGAGCACACAGAGGTTTTTAATGGCATTGATTAAAAAAAAAATTGCACTTGGATCCTGTTTCAGGATGAAGGACATTCAAAATGCATTCCAATTTGTATTAACAGATATGATCAGAATGAATACTCAAGCACTCAGGGTACACAATACTTGGAGCTGTCAGCTAATACTTCAAGAGTGCTTATATAATATTCACTTTTTTATTTACGTGTACACCAGTGTGCCTCTATGTAAACCGCTGTGAAATGTAAATAAAAATGCTACAGAGGAAATGTGAGATGCCAGATGTAGACCACTACGAGTCAGAAGGTGTATTTAGTTATACAATGATTTTTTTCAGAGCTGTGGATCTGTTCTCAACATGCTGCCTTGAAGAATAGCAACACATTTTGTCATCTGCATTAGTGTGCTAAATGTTTCCGTTGTTTACAACTTCTTTCTGAAGTAATTATAGTGTAAATGTTATGAGGAATTATGTATCCAAAATTATATTAAAGGTTACTTATATATAAATATAAATGATGTGTTTTGTGAGAAAAAGAAATCGACGGACAACTCTTAAAAATGAAGACATTAAGAGTACAGCTTTTATTAAATGGTGTTGCTTCAAACACAAGTAAAGTATTTAAACACCAGGTTAAATCCAGTTCTTAAATAATGACTATAAGAGTAAATGTGTCTGTTTGGTTATTTATTTGAGAGGGGTGCTTTGAAGTGGGAAGTTTAACAGGTATTCTTTTGACTTTATTTTTTATGTTGGTGATATAAAAAAATAAATAATAAAAACGTAGTTCACCTAATGGTAACATACTGTATCTGCTCTTCAACGGTTTGAATAATAATCCTATGTTTATAATCACTTGACTATAATCAATTTCATGTATTGTATGCTATTCAGGAGCTAAATACATACTTTGAACATACTGTATAATAATGCACTTTACTGTGAATATCTGAGGGTTAGTAAAGTAAACATGAATATAAGAAATCAGATTTGTTTTTGTAAATGATCTGGTAGAAAGAGAAATACCAGTAAAAGTATCCTTATTATTTTAGCCCTAATTTATCAGAAATGTTGCATATCAAATGTAAATAATAATAAAAAGGGCATTAAATGCAAAATAATATGTACTGCCTATTATGCCTACCCTTTTAACATAGCATATTCCAATAGACAACTTACTTTTATAAAAATATAAAGATTAAAAAAAACGTTTTTCATTTCATTTCAAACCTTTATTTATCCAGGTGTATCTCATTGAGATCATTGATATCTTTTTCAAGGGAGACCTGCTGCACGTTCTTAATTACTTATCAGTATTATTCCACAAACTACATTTTTGACAGATATTCATCCTTTATATATATATTTTTAACTTTATCATTGTTTTGTAACCCCTGCACTTCCCTTGGAGAACAAACGTATTTATGTATTTAATGTAATGTTCACATCGACCAGTTGGGGGCGGTATAGCGCGAACACTGCCTTAAAGCTACCAGATAGAAGAACCTGGATGGGATGTACGACGTGCAACCATGAAGATGACAGGGGAAAACAGTGCTGGAAATGTGGAAATAACAATGGATGACGTTAAAAACCTGATGAAAAAGAAAGATGAAATTGAAGAACAGATAAAGGCTTATTATGATGTTTTGGAAGACGTAAGTGTGTCTGTTAGACATATTAAGAAAGCGACGCAAGGCTAACACAAGGCTACATACATTAACTCTGAATAATCTAAACATGCCTTCCTTTATTTTTTTATGTTTACAGCAAGGTGTCGGAGTTGAAGGTTCCTTGGTCGACCCGGAGGGCTTCCCCCGAGGAGATGTTAATGTATACCAGATCAGGACAGCAAGGCACAGTATTTCATGTGAGCAGCGTGGTTGTTGTTGTTGTTGTTGTTGTTGTTGCAACTTGTTCCTGTTCGCGGACGACTCAGCCCTGCTGGTCTCTGACAGGAACGGGTTGCAGGTTGAAAAAACCCTCAGCTCCGAGCTCGGCAGAATCTGCACCTGGCTCGCCGATAATAAATTATCATTACACCTGGGTAAAACAGAGTCCATTCTCTTCGGTTCGAAACATAATCTCAGCAAATCCGACGACTTCTCAGTTGCAGTGGGCGACATTATTGTCACAAGTAAGAAGGAAATTACATACCTAGGATCTATTCTTGAGGCAAACCTCTCATGTGACAAAATGGCATCCAATGTAATAAAAAAAGTCAATCAAAGAACTAGATTCCTATACCGGATCTCCTCTCTGGTAAACAAAAACACCCTGAAAACTCTGGCAGGAGCACTCATTCAAGGGTACTATGACTATGCTTGCACGTCATGGTACCATAGCACCTCCAAGGCGCTAAAAATAAAACTTCAAACATCGCAAAATAAACTGGTCAGACTACTGCTTGACCTTTCATCTAGAACCCACCTCACCTCTGCCCACTTTGACAACCTAGGATGGCTTAGAGTAGACGACAGAGTACAGCTACTTGCAATGGGCCTGCTCTACAAGATCCACTACACCTCTATGGTACCCATGTACATGTCAACATTTTTCCCAAAGGTCAAGGAATACCATGATCATAACACCAGAGGGAGCTCCACAAATCATGTGAAACCCAGATTTGGCACAAAAAAGGGGGAATACACGTTTCGCAATTATGCCACATCAAGGTGGAACGCTCTTCCCACAACTGTAAAGGAAAGTAAAACTATACTTACCTTCAAAACCTCTCTTAAAGAGCACCTTCGGGGGAGAGCATTGCAAAACTGGCCCCGGTAATGGTACAAATCTCAACCTGTCGTTCAATGGACAGCTTCCCCCCCCATCTATGTATATACTCGCATTTTAGACTCTGTTACTAACTGTATATCTGTAGACTTGGTATGTCTTAAATGTCCGGTTAGGATGTATTAGAACGAAATCTAAAATGAAAATTGTAAATAAGCAATCTGTATGTAAAAAACCACCTGTATGTAAATTGTAAATAAGCCATCTGTATGTCAAATATGTCTTATATGTCTTAAATGACATGATGAATTGGAAATGGGGGACCCTGATGTAAACAAGACGAAAGTCTTTCTCTGGTCTGCATCCCCTTAACAATTGTATGTTTTGAGCTGTACTGTACTGTACCCAATATACAAGCTGTTAATAAACTTTTCAATCAATCAATCAATCAGTTGTGTAACTTAGTCTGTGAAAGCCTGTGATGGAACAACAATTTAGATGTTTTACTTGGGTACTTAGATACCCAACTGTAAAAATACTATGTTACAACTAAAAGTCCTGCACTAAAAGTGTTACCTTAGTGAAATGATGTATGTATAATCTTGAAAATGGTGTTAAGAATGGAAGTAATCAATGCATTTCTCACATTTGAGAAGCTGAAGATTCTGGGAAAAACTGCAAATCTTATTATATTAACAGTTTAGTTGCTCGTTAATGGTTAGATCTTGTTTTCCAGGCCTGCAGAATGACCACAAGGATGTGATGAAGGAGATAGAAGAATCCCTTCACCAGCTGCATGCTCGAGAGAAAGCCAAGCAGGGTGGGGACGCATCAGGAGGCCAGGAGGAGCCCATGGAGCAGCAGGTCACTCTTCATGCTCCCTTTGCACGGGTGGACGCTGTCACACAGGGCTCTCCTGCCTGTAAAGCTGTGAGTGATGTGAATGGTGCTTTGGTATCTGATTAACCGTCAGTATTCTTTGACGAGTTGAAATTAAGAAGAAACCAATCTGCTTTTGATCCTGGCATTAAAGTAATCTTTTTTTCTTTTCAAAGGGGCTGAGAGTGGGTGATGAAGTCACTGAGTTTGGTTCTGTGAACACGGGGAACTTTCAGAACCTGCAGAATATTGCTTCTGTGGTACAACACAGTGAAGGGGTAAGCTACAGCAGCTGTTTGTATTGTCACACTGCACAAAGAGTACCTTTTTCTTTTTAAAACAACGTTTTGACCCATATATCCTTTCAATAATCTCCTATAGTGCCTGGCGTTGTCTGTACCTTCAGAGACCCGCAGTCCTCTGCCTGTATTTCTTTGTTTGCAGTGTTGGGGAAGTTTCTGGGTGTCAACGTCTGTAAAAACATAGAAACCAGGTTCAGGCATGAGCACACATCTAAGAGGAAGCTATAGAGATGGAGGACAAAGCCTCGAATACTTGCAAACATAGGAAAGCAAAACATCAAGCTGGCAAAGCTCTTTGAAATAGTCTCTGGGATTGTCTTTCACATGCTGGCAAGAGCTTTGAGTGTTGTGTTGGAAAACCACAACCATCACATTCTACTCATTGTGCCTTTAATTGTGTTGTGGTAGTTTTATTATTTTGTGATACAGATGGATGTGTGAGTTAACCCCAAAACGATTTTAATAACCAAGCATTTTTAAATCCCATTTGAACTACATTTTTATTTGATTTATTCAATTAGGTCTGAGAAAACCTATCTGTCCTTTAGTTAAAATTAGAAGTCTTCTGGTAATCACTGTATCCTTTCTCCTCATTGCACAACCATAGGTTACATTTTGCTGAACACTCTTAATATCTGGAGTGTAAACTGTAATATTGTGTCCTTTTACAGAAACCATTACGTGTCGCAGTCATCCGGGATGGCCAGAGAGCTCAGGTGAGCCTGACTCCACAACGATGGACCGGCAGAGGTCTGCTGGGGTGAGTGCTACAACACAGTCATGTACATGAATTGGCACAGATTTATTGGAGTTAATATCAAGAAACAAAAATAGCTGTGAAGCCCATGTAACATATCTGTTGAAGGCTTTGAGTGATCCAAGCAGACATGTTAATTTATAATAATAATAATAATATAATAGTGCATGTTTTACATGACCACACGGCAGGGATATTGGTAAGATATTCTTTAGTACATCATACTTACAAAACTTAGTTCACGAATGGCAGTAATAAAATTGTTCACTGGTCCTTGTTCTTTTTCAGATGCAACATCGTCCCAATTATACAATAGAAGTCTTCTGAAGGGGATTTATGAACATTGAGTGTCACAGTACTTTTGTTATGACGACATGCTGAGTTTCCCAAATAAACATTGGTTGACCAACTTGTAATTTTTTCCTGTCCAATGCTGTTATTTTGTATCTATGAAATATTGCTCTTGGGGAAAGATGCCCCATCGACTATTATGCATGAGCAATAGCAAATCTGGGATTTTTGTGTGATGGTAAAATATCAGCAAAAGGTTTATTCCACAAGTAAGATCTTATTTTGAGTAAAGTTCAACACAGCTTCTTTACCCATTTAGAGAACCTCGACCAAATCCATTGTAGTCATCTAATCTAAGTCATATATTACGTCAACACATTGATTCAGCCACGAATTAAAGAATATTCAGAGCAATATCTGAAAATCCCAAAACTAATGAGAACGGCAACAAGCTGGGAGACAATTATAGGATGTTTTTTTATTTTATAAAAATGTTCATAAAAAATCAGAAAGGTATTTTTTCCAAAAGCAGTGAATCCATTGACATGTAAGTACATTTAACATGTTCATATGGCTAAAGGATGTCACTGAAGCACGTACAAATCTATACCAAACAAAATGGTATAATCCTAATATAAAAATGAAAACTAAATCCACTACATTATTTCTATTCTAGCAGAAATCATGTTTGTTGCTTGAGTTTCTTCTTTTTGGGCTTGACCATCTGTGGTAGTTGGATTTTGAAGGCAGTCCTGAAAAGAAAAGGAATTATAGAAATGTGAACCAAAAGGAGATTAAATCAAACTGCATGATTTCAGGTGAATAACAGTAGTTCAAATTTAAGAGGTTTTGTATTGAATATTTGATATCATTTTTTGTTAACTCACTCGCAGGTTGTGCAGATGGGGCTGAAGTTGCAGAATACTTAGAGATAAAGAGAAAACAGGAGAATGCGTCACCACAACAAATAACTAACTGCAGCTTTTGACAACTATTTAACTAGTATTCAAACTTACTTGATAGACATACTGAGCACACATAGCCAATGTCAATGAGGTTCCTGTGGCAGAAGCATGCGGCTCTGTAGTCCACGTGCACAGGTGGAGGGAGAACCAGCTGGGCCCGCTGCTCACAGTCAGGCAGGAACACCCACTGTTCAGAAAACACCACCATAAACAGAAAGCAAAGCTCATAACAAAAACATGAGATGAACGATACTGTGATATACATTGTGTAAATCTGTGTTGCACTCTCACCAAAAGGTATTGTGCCAAAGCAACTTTTTGTGGTATCTTGAGGTACAATCCTCCAGTTATATCGCAAGCCTACAAAGGACAAACATATAAAAGTAAAACTGAGTATAAACACACAGGTTAGGACAGCACAATACAGTTGAAGTATGACCATTCAAAAAAACCTGTACACTTGGCCAATAGAGTGCCACAGTGACGCGTCCTAAAACCCGGAAGTAAGTTAGCATTTTACCACTTTCGAATCCTAAATCTTATCGATAGATTTATGATCGATAGATTTATGATTAGAAAATTATAAAAGTAGGGTAGACATGTGGATATTATCCGGCTGAAGAAAACGTGATCTGTCTCTTAAATGTGTGTCAACCACAGACCTTATTTCCAGCTATTTTCCAAAATCCTATGGAGAAATTGCATTGCTTTTTGTCGATGGAACCGGATGGAGTTTACTTCCGGGTTTTAGGACGCGTCACTGTGGCACTCTATACCAATGTATTTTTATTTAAAGCTTTTTTTATTTCATTACATTTGAATCTCCAACAAAATCCTCAATTATTTTGTATTAAATCAACTTCCTCTAATAATTATACATTTTCCATGCATGACTCACTCTTGTATGGCAAGCAGGAGAGCAAATTGTTTTTTTTAATATGGACGGAAGCAGTATATTTGGCAAGAAAATGTATTTGGTAAAGATTACATTTATATATTTTCAATTTACTTGGGATTTCAACCCACTGGAGTTATTGAACATGTTTGGATCACAGAAGTCTAAAACAATCCTGATGATTTTAATAAACTAAAAAAACACTTAAAAAGAATAATATAAATTATATTGGTTTGAGAGACAATTAATGGATGTTGATTTTCCTTTAATTGTTCTACAAGTTATCCAATATTATTGCATAGTTGTGTTTGGTATTCTCCGGTTAAGCCTTTGGATGGAAATGTCCATCATAATAAAAGTATACAATTAGATTATTGTCAACGTCCTAAGAAAGCCATAACATTGTACCTGCTGAAGGAGACCCGAGTCTGAGTCCAACACACAGGCATCTATCAGGATGTTCTGTTTTAAAATACAAAACAAATGTATTATAAACATATGTAAATGTTAAAACAAGTAAAATAATACAAAACTAAATTGCGATCAATGATTGTACCTGCTTCTGGGAAGCAAAAATGACATTCATGAAGTTCATGTACTGTAGGGCACAGTCCTCGGCTGCTTTTATCACCTATTCAGTCAAATACAGAGATTGATTTCAAAGGCACGGACTAAAACAAAAGCACTCTCAAGCCAAATTCTACTTTTTAGGGCTTACCAATATTCTTGATTTTGTTTCTTGTCCAACTTAAAAAGAAAAGACAGTATTATTAAGTATGACAAGGAAAACAGAACCCGTTAAAGAGTATAAATTAAGATTAATAATAAAATAAACATTTAATTACCTTCATGATCTTTTGCGACTCTGTTAATATCTAAAGTTAAAGGATTAAGGAAAACTAGAAACAAATGTTTTGCCTCTCTCTCTCTCAACCACAATCATTGCTGTGTACAGAAAGAAAATGAGAAAAGCAGATATTACTTTCAACGAAGAATCCATCATCCAAGCAAGGGAATGTAATAGCATATAAAAACACAAATGTTATCTTCCAACATATACAATTCAGTATCATTCATTAAAGTAAATGTATTAGTCAATGTACCTGTTCTTAGATAAATCCTGATCTTGTAAAAATGTCAAATTATTATTGAAAGGATACAGCACAGAGCTTTGGCCAGTGACCCAGCCAACAGAGTATCTGTTGAATTTCCCATCACATCCGCTGTAATCACATAAGACACATTGTACATTTTAACAATGCACAGTGTCATTAAACACTTGAACCAACAAACAAATCAAAGCTACAAATACAAGACATATACAACGCATTATCGTAAATTCAACAACCAAACTTTTTGATATTAGTATTTTGAGAAAGCTACTGTCTGTGTGTGTGTGTGTATATATACATATATATATATATATTGAAAGGTCAAGATACCCTACAACAACAGACGTGTACTTACTTTTTGCAATAACCTTCCTGATTTCTTCAGCGATAAAGTTATTAGCGACTGACAGGAGTTCATATTTTCCATCCCCACTGGAGGAAGCATCCTCCTCACAGCTGTCGCCCGCTCCCCAGCTCTTACCGGGATATAGGAAGTGACTGAAATAAAGGGAAGTTGGATAAATGAGGCACAGGTTTGTCTTCATGCCTTTTTATTTATTTTTTATTTTACTATACTTACTTGTTTGCCTGTCCTTATTTGTCTATCCTCCCTCATACTGTAAAGCGTCTTTGAGTTGTGAAAAGCGCTATATAAATCAAATGCATTATTATTATTATTGTTTATTTTGTTGTCTGAAAATGAGAACATTTACGACAATAGTCTATATTCCTAAGGGCCATGAGTTAAAAATGAACAAACGTTTTTTAATGTAAACAATTTCAATTCTTAAACTGAAAAGTCACTTGCAACTACAGCTCCCAAATAAAGGTAGTAGAGTAACATATAATAATACAACACATCCAACCCCACCCCCTTCAGTAAATGCACTTGTATTAATTATATATTGCTTTTCACCACTGTTAGCTGCTCTATAATTACTTAGACCTGAAAGGGTTTGGATTACCAGAAACTAATTTACTTTCAGGATTATTGTGGTTCTGAATTGTTATCCTTGTGAATGATTGGACTTATTGTAAGTGTATTTGGATAAAACCTTCAGCTGAATGAAACGAATAAAAGAAAAGAAGACCATAATAAAGTTACCTGTCCTGACAGTGGCTGGCGATGACAGCCAGCTTGTTGGTCCTGGACATGGCCATGTGGGAGTTCCCCAGCACCATCACTGCATCCAGACACTTGGACAGGGTGAGCTAAACGGAGACAGGAGGACAGTACGTGTTCTTTAGACATGTAATAACTACAAACTGAAAACCATTTATAAAAAGGTCAGAGAAATATCTGATTATACTACCTCTGTCTCGCGTTGAGCTTGCTGCCCCCACCATATCGGATTTACATCCACGACGATGACCAGCAGATTAATATCATCTTATAAAGAAATGTTGGAAAATTCAAGATAAACCAGTGTGTAGCCTACAGGAAAAGGTAACTGTATGAGATAATCATCTGGACCACCTACCTGATGCCATGTTGGGATTTATCTTTCAATGAAGAGAAACAAGAAGTGATTATTGTTGTTCTCCTGGTGCTTTATCTTTTGTTACATTCCATTTTTGCTCTGAAAATACAAAACACATATTCAACGTTTTTTTTTTAAAAGTCTGGATATCCCTACTATGATATAAAAACCCTGACATTTGTAAAGTGCAGCCCTTTTCATTCACTGTTGATGTTACCCACCGTATTAGCCACATTAGCCGACCATGTTCTTCTTCTTCTACTGTTCATATTGGTACCACACGGTGCATTGCTGACACCTAGCGTTAGTTTACGTAATGCCTCCTACACACACACGCGCGCACACACACACGCGCGTGCCCACACACACTACTAAAAGTGTACTGATAATGTATGTCATGATATAACAATGGAAAAAAAACTAAATTAAAAATAGTTGGCAAGTATATGTTGGCTTCTGTAAGTATCGAAAGTAAATTAGGTGTTAAGCAGAGAACACGTTTTTGTATTACATAATTGTACTGTTTATTAATACAAGTGGAAGTAGTATTGTACTGCTGTAGTTGGTTGATGGTCATCCCTATGTTCCAAGGGACCTATGTTCTGATGTAAACATTGGAAGTGTTGGTAAGGGCTATCCTTGCAGTTCAAAATGCAAAAATACAAAGGGACCATGTTTCAAATGCAGTTTAGTATACTGTAAATCCATTTAGCCAATGTGAAGTTCAATTCTAAAGTCAAGGCAATTGTTTAGATAGCAGATTTGAGGGTAAGGGTTTCCTAGACCTAGATTATAACATCAGAAAGCTTTAAGATACAGTATATGTGTTATATTTCAACATATTAACCATGGGAGACATTCAATAAAAAAAAACGTTTGAAGGTCTACTTTATGTCTCATTAAAAAGGACATTGAGCTGTGAATTAGGATCCTGGAAACATACAGTACATCCTCTTGGTTGATTTCTTTGTACACTCTGTACTGTTGGGTAATCAAATTGCAAAAATCCAGTGATAGAGTAAACTAGAGTTATTTCCAAATAATTCCCTGAGTGTCTGGTTATTTTTAGGGCTTTGGATTTGTCTGGGCCTGAATTGAGCCAGTCCTGTATCTCTCAGTCTGGTAGACATCTGACTCGATGGCCTCGCTGCAGTCGTTCAGTGTTACATATACACTCCCTTTGACCTCAGTGACCTTGTGAATCCTCTGCTTGACACCCTTGGAGCGCCAGTGTGTCCTCAGGGGTTTGACTGTAGGGTCATCCACGGCTTGGTAAAGCCCTTCCCCTTCTGCTAGTGTGATCTTGTACTTGTGCCACGGACACACAATACATAGCCGCCCATTAAACTCCTGATGTTGGCACAGCATGAAGGTGATAAGAGGCATAAGAAAGACACTATTAGCGGTTTTTGAAAGTTTTGAAAAAAAAGGCAATGTTTTTTAGAGAATATGTAAACTTACCTCGATGTCTCCATGCTGTAATGGACCACCTGCATCTGTAAGTGGAACATTTGTGTCATCATCAGTAGTAGTGTTTCACAAATGTGATGAGCCATTGCATTAATTTTAAAACCCTTAAAATAAACATTAAAATAATGAATGTCAACATCTTTCTAAATGTTTCAACAGGAAATACCTAAGATTATGACAGGATCTTACAATTATAGCTTTATGCATAACATTTCCATACATTTTTCAGCCCTCAGTAGTATGGGAGATTTCAGTGTTTGCTTTATGCATAACATCAACACAAACACAGAGCTTACGATAGCAGCGCAGGTCCATTGCATGAAGTGTCCCTTGGTGGTACAGGACCAGTATTTCCCTGCATACATTCACAGTCTTGATCAGGCGCCCTGCCTTGACAATGTCCTCCTTCCTGCCGATGAGATGGGATGCAGGGGCAGGTGAGGAGGATGGAGGGGGAAAGGAAGAAGGAGTGGATGTCTGAGAAGTCTCCTCCTCAGAAGACATTTCTTGATCACTTCTTACATCAGTTTTCCTGATAAAAATAAGAATATAGTTAGACAGATATTTGAGATATGATATGGTTGAAGGAACAAAATATTTTTTAAAGATGTTTTTCTTTGCACAGGGAATTGTAGACAAAGCAAGGCAAGGCAAGGCAAGGCAAGGCAAGGCAAGGCAAGGCAAGGCAAGGCAAGGCAAGGCAAGGCAAGGCAAGGCAAGGCAAGGCAAGGCAAGGCAAGGCAAGGCAAGGCAAGGCAAGGCAAGGCAAGGCAAGGCAAGGCAAGGCAAGGCAAGGCAAGGCAAGGCAAGGCAAGGCAAGGCAAGGCAAGGCAAGGCAAGGCAAGGCAAGGCAAGGCAAGGCAAGGCAAGGCAAGTTTATTTATATAGCACTTTTCAACACAAGGCAATTCAAAGTGCTTTACAAAAAATGAAAGACATTAAGAAAATGGCATTTAAAATCAGTCATTAAAAAGAAAAGCTAATAAAATAAACATTAAAAGAAAAAATACATGGATAAAAGTTACAGTGCAGTCTAAGATATGAATAGTTCAATTAAACATTAAAAGAAAAAGTACATGGATAAAAGTTACAGTGCAGTCTAAGATATGAATAGTTCAATTAAAAGCAGCGACAAAAAGAAAAGTCTTCAGCCTGGATTTAAAAGTAGTCAGAGTTGCAGCGGACCTGCAGGTTTCTGGGAGTTTGTTCCAGATATTTGGAGCATAATAACTGAACGCTGCTTTACCATGTTTAGTTCTGACTCTGGGGACAGAAAGCTGACCAGTCCCTGAAGACCTGAGAGATCTGGATGGTTCATAATTTAGCAGGAGGTCAGAAATGTATTTTGGGCCTAAACCATTCAGTGCTTTATAAACCAGCAGCAGTATTTTTGAAATCTATTCTTTGACACACAGGAAGCCAGTGTAAAGACTTCAGAACAGGAGTGATGTGATCCACTTTCTTAGTGTTAGTGAGGACTCGAGCAGCGGCGTTCTGAATCAGCTGCAGCTTTCTAATAGATTTTTTAGTGAGACCTGTGAAGACACCATTGCAGTAGTCGAGTCTACTGAAGATAAAAGCATGGACAAGTTTTTCCAAATCCTGCTGTGACATTAGTCTTTTAATCCTAGATATATTCTTTAGGTGATAGTAGGCTGATTTAGTAATTGTTTTAATGTGACTGTTGAAACTCAGGTCAGAGTCCATGACTACACCTAGATTTCTGGCTTTATCTGTTATTTTGAATATTGCAGACTGAAGCTCAGCGCTAACTTTTATACGTTCTGACTTGGCTCCAAAAACCATTACCTCAGTTTTATCTTTGTTTAATTGGAGAAAGTTCTGACACATCCAGTCATTGATTTGTTCAATGCACTTACTCAGTGTTTGAATTGGAGCATAGTCTCCTGGTGAAATTGTTACGTAAATGTGTGTGTCATCCGCATAGCTATGGTAACTTATTTTGTTGTTTTTCATTATCTGAGCCAGTGGTAGCATGTAGATGTTAAAGAGAAGAGGCCCCAAGATGGAGCCTTGAGGAACCCCACATGTCATATTTGTCAACTCAGATGTGTATTTACCTATAGAAACAAAGTTGTTTCTGTCCTTTAAGTAGGATTCAAACCAATTTAGAACTGCTTCCGAAAGTCCCACCCAGTTTTCCAGTCGGTCTAGTAATATGCTGTGGTCAACAGTGTCAAACGCAGCACTGAGATCTAATAATACTAACACTGAAGTTCTGCCACTGTCTGTGTTTAAGTGGATGTCATTAAAGACCTTTACAAGAGCAGTCTCAGTGCTGTGGTTTGGACGAAAGCCTGACTGGAACACATCAAAACAGTTATTTAAATGCAAGAAATTACTCAACTGTTGAAAAACAACTTTTTCAATGATTTTACCTAGAAATGGGAGGTTTGATATGGGCCTGTAATTGTTCATTACTGAAGCATCTTGATTATTCTTTTTTAAGAGCGGTTTAATGACTGCAGTTTTCAGGGCCTGTAGAAAAATACCTGAGTGAAGAGATTTGTTTACTATATGAAGTAGATCTGAGGCCATGCAAGGCAAAGCATCTTTGAAAAATCCTGTTGGAATAATATCAAGGCAGCAGGAGGAGGATTTCAGAAGTTGAATAATGTCCTCTAGGTTTTTATCATTAATCTGATGGAATTGTGTCATGGTGTTTGAATTGATATTAGGTGGACACAGAGACAACACATTTGCTGTTCCTGATGCAGAGGCACTGACTGCTTGTCTGATTTTCTGAATTTTGTCAGTGAAGAAGGAGGCAAAATCATTGCACGCCCTGGTGGATAGAAATTCAGAGGCTACTGACACTGGGGGGTTAGTTAGTCTGTCGACGGTAGCAAACAAAGCATGTGCGTTGTTTTTGGTAATGATGTCAGAGAAGAACGATTGTCGTGCGTTTTTCAATTCCAAATTATAAAGGCCAAGTCTCTCTTTATAGATTTCAAAGTGAACCTGGAGATTTGTTTTTCGCCACCTGCGTTTAGCTTTTCGACATTCTCTTTTTTCTGTTTTCACGGTCATGGCCTTTCTCCATGGAGATATTTTCTTGCCAGACACTTCCTTTACCTTAGTTGGAGCAATGGCATCTATAACATTTTTAATTTTTTAATTAAAATGATCTACTAGCTCATTTACTGAGATGTTGGCAGGGGCAAGTGTGGAAGAGAAATTCTGAGTAAACATTTCCCTAGTATTTTCAGTTAAATATCGCTTTGTGGTTACCTCTTTTTGAACATTTTTGTGAACAGAAATAGAGCTCTCAAAGAAAACACAGGAATGGTCAGAGAGTGCAACATCAGTCACCACAACCTTAGAGATATTCAGACCCTTTGAGATAATTAAGTCCAGAGTGTGCCCCTTATTGTGCGTGGACTCCGTCACATGCTGAGTCAGTCCATAGCTATCAAGAACACAAAATAGTTCTTTAGCCCCTCTGTCCTGGGGGTTGTCAACATGGATGTTAAAATCACCAACAATGACTAGACGGTCAAAGTCAATACACACTATAGACAGCAGTTCAGTAAAGTCATCAAAAAAGCTTGCACAGTATTTGGGTGGTCTATAGATATTTAGGAACAGAGCTCGAGAGGAGCATTTCAGCTGAAGGGCCACATATTCAAAAGAATCAAAGTTCCCATAAGATGTCTTCCTGCATTGAAGGGAATCATTAAACAGAATAGCAACTCCACCCCCTTTCTTATGCATTCTTTCCTGACTCATAAAACTAAAGTTGGGAGGGGTTGATTAGCCTATTTGGGGAACATATCTGCTGAACTATTCCTAGGGTCTGGTGAAGCTCCTGTAACATGCAATATGTCTATTCCTCCCCAGTCAAAATGTTTACCTACTTTTTTACTTTTTCAAGGTGATTACATTATTTGGCATGGATTTTTGCAGAAACAAACTAATGGTTGAGTAGTTCCTAATTTTACCTCCAATAATCCTATGATTAATCTTTGATTCAAAACATTAAATCTACCTACCCATATGTTGAGGGTTCACATCTCTGACACTTCCCAGGTCTCTAGTAAACGGCTTTGGTCGTCATCTTTCTGAATGGGTCTGGTAACCTGGCAACTAGTTTCTGGTTAAATTGTCTTCAAGTACTGGGCCGGAAATGAGAAACTTAACCTCACTAAAATTACACATGTTGCTAAATATGTATTAAACAGGCTCTGTTAATTGAGCGTTTAAAGTTATCTACGGGTCCAGTCTGATAAGTTTGATTTGAGCAGAGGTGGGTTGAGGAAGTGCTTATGTTGTGTGTTACGTCCAATGTTGTCCCCAGTGAAACACGGGTTGATGACATTGATTCCTCGATTTCCTTCACGTCCATGGTTTAACCAGCGCCGTATAGATAGATTATATTATACGGCTCTGGGTTTAACTAAGCATACAACACAAGTATGCACTCATATGTTCCCTGCATGGATGTGTACAAAAGTTATATAACATCGCCTTCTAATATCATGTATATCATGATAGTTGCAGAGATGTATGAGGACCCGAGTGTGTATAAACAATTATAATAATAAGAAAAATGAATAGACTCTGTTAGTATTAGATACAAATGTATACTTGTCTTTTTCGTGTTTATTAATCAATCTATGCATTTATCAATTTGTTTTGTTAATTTTTTGTATTTTTTGTATTTTTATAATATATTAAAATGTGCACCAAAAAAACCTCTAGTAACAACAATATTAAACAATGTGTGTTATCATTAATAAATAATAAACCATAACAACACATTTACATCCATTGTTCAGCCCTCAATACAATACGTCGTAGGGCTACAGTCATTAGGGCACATGTCATAATAGTTTAGTCTAAGAAGGCTTTTGTCCTAGCAGGTTTGTTGGTGGGTATTAAGCCCTCCGAGGGATTATCTCTCTTTCATGCTGAACTGAGCGTAATTTGACCGGCTGTCCTTCTGAATTCTGCATTTAAATAAGATATGATATCCTTATTTCTGCCACCTGCCACCTCAGGAGTTGTGTTCACGGATAACGGGAACTAAAATCCCCCTCCCAAAACCGTTTTCGTCGCTATGGAGACCTACTCTGTGTACGGAAATAGTGATACTCCTCAAGCAAGCAACTTTTTAAACATTAATGCATTTTGTCAGTTCAGAATGTTCCATCAGATAAAACGTCATGCTCACTCATTTGCCTTTTCAGGTAAGTGTTCTATTTACTTTTGCCAATTTATGTTACAGTATTTACAGCTTTTCACTCAGTCATTCAATTATTTGGGAAGCACAAGCTCCCAATGATAATAATGTATTGCCCAATGTTTGATGTGTATTATAATGTGACAATGATTTTAAACTGGAACTTACCTTTTTTTTTTATTGAGGGTTTGTTTGATAGGCAAGGCAAGTTTATTTATATAGCACCTTTCAACACAAGGCAATTCAAGGTGCTTTACAAAAATGAAAGACATTCAGACAAAGGCATTTAAAAAAATAAAAGATAATAAAAGAATATGATAGATAGGAGTTAACAATCCTCTTCCACTTTACTTTGTGTTATATGGCTAAACCAGCCCTGTAATGTAAACTGCTCTGCTGGTTGTCTATCTAATTTGCAGAATTACCAGTTGCTGACTCTCAAATTCCACCACGTGTTCAATGGGACTGTGACCCCACCTTATGGAAATATGGAGCTCTAGGAGGGGGATGATTCGAAGAGGTGTACTGTTTCATAAACACAGTAATGAACAGCACTCTCACCTTAATGCATTTGAGTCATATGGTAGTAATATTGCAGCTGCCAGCCAATCTACTGTAGAAGTCAAAGAAGCAACAGTTGCATTCTTATGTCTGCTATATTTATCATGATACGGTGCATGTGTCTGCCCTGGTTCATTGCTGACCAAGTGTCACATTTCAGCATCATACCAGTGTCGTGTGCTTTGCTTGACACCACAACTGTGCAGTGTGGTAGTATGACAAAGTGACCAGCCAGACCATTGGCAATCGGTCTCTGACAGGAATCACTGAGGGAGAGAAACAGACAGCAAGGGTTTACTGTGTTGGAAAATAGCAGTGTGGAGCTTGTGTTGTGGGGGGGGGGGGGGTTTAGTGTGTAGTTGTTTGGAGTTTTTTTTTAATATTCAGCCTGTGTCATAGAATTTGTCTAGCTGCACAGTCCTATCTTTCTTTCTTTCTTGCCTTTGCTTTGTGTGGCCAACTGATGGAGAAACTAAAGCGATATGTCTACCGCCCCCAGGGTAAATGGAGGGAAGAAAACGAGAAACAAAAGAAAGGGGAGGAAATGTCACTTTCCCTGTATGAGTGTCTGAAGGCCATTGGGCTTCAGCGTCACTATGCTAGGTAAGCTCACTCACATCACTTCCAAACTAACACTTGCCCTGCCCCCTCCTCATCTGATCATATGTCTCCCTCTGTTTCCTTTCCTTCAGGTTTACTTCTGTGGGTATTTGTCGTGCAGCCCACCTCTCAGCGCTGACCATGGAGGACTATCCAATCCTTGGGATCTGCTGTATGGAGGACAGGACGAGACTCTTCAATCTGGTCCAAATGGTCAAAGCTCTTGACCTAGAATATGAAAATAGTGAAGATTATGGTGCTGACAGTGGTGATGAAGGCTACACTGCAGCAGATAGTAGCTTTTCTTATGTTGGTGGTGAAGATGAAGAGGATGTTTACAATGATGAGAATGAGAGGGGTGCTGCTGAAAGTAAGCTTAATTCAACGCGTTTTACAAAACCCTCATCCGTTCGCAGACGGCTTGATTTTAATTGTGAAACCATCGATCACAATCTGAATCTTTTTGTTTATCCTGATGCCTCTGTATATGTAATGAATAGTGAGGCAGGGCAGGGCAAAGGGTCGGCCCTATCTGTGCAGCTTGACTCTGGAAGTGCTGCGGTATGTGGCTGCAAGTGGAAGAACAACCACAGGCTGGATTATCATAGGTATCAATCTGGTCGTCACACAGGAGCAAACACTGAGCCAAAGATTATGGAAGGAAAATCCATGTTAAATTTTCACACCAGATTATCACCAAAGTGCGAATCATCCATCAAACCAAAACCCCAGCCTGAAACAGTGGCATCAAAGTTGTTTAACAACAAACTATTTGGGCATAAAGATAGAAAGGGACTTTTAAGGAAGAAGAAACCCTTGACAGAAATTAGCAGTAATGCGGCTTCTGAACACACGCCTAAGCCAACACCTGTTTATGAACTAATGAGAACAGCTGGCTACAACTATGGACTACCACTGAGTTCCCCTCCTGCTCCAAACAAAACGTGAGTGGCAGTGGTTTGTGTTGTTTTTGTGTTTAGTCCATATTTACAATTAAGTATCTTAGTGCAGTAACAGTACTAGATACATGTATTGAATATGAAATACATTTAGATAGTAATATCAAGTATCTAAATGGCTACAACATTTACATCTAGGCAATGATAATCATGTTTTTCTTTGCACATGATAATCATGATTTGGTTTGTCTGTGATTGGTGTGTGTTGCAGACGACCAGGGGCGCAGCGGATCAGTGTGTGTGTGAGGAAAAGACCTCTGACACGCACAGAGTGCAGGAGAGGAGAGACAGATGTTTTGACAACTCCAAGTGAAGAGTGTGTTATTGTTCATGAAAGCAAAGAGGCTGTGGATCTCACACAGTACATACTAAAGGTAGATATAAAGTCAAGATATGAGGCAATGTCTGAAACATCATGTAGGAAGAAGACAGCATTTTCTTCAAATAAACACTTTATCATTAAACTGTGATGATGTGAAATAAAGCAGGGTGGATTTTCACTTTAAGATCTACTTCTCAAACCATTTTGCTGTTCTTCCTCCTTGTTCTTTGGTCCCTGCAGCTCAGGTTCTACTTTGACCAGGTGTTTGGGGAGGAGAGTTCCAATGAGGAGGTGTATCAAAGAACAGCATATCCTCTGGTGCAGCACATGCTCAATGGGTAGGTTAGCAGTAATGTAGTGGCATTTATGGAGTTGTGTGTGTGTGTTGTCAGCTTTACCTGCCTTTCTAATGAAGTCAGGGGCGCCGTAAGGGGGTGAAAAGTTAGGAGGATTCTAAGGGCCCGTGACTGACAGGGGCCCAAACAATTTTAGAAAATTAAGAAAAAATGTTTAAGTAACCAATGTGATTATCTTTTCATGGGGCCCAAAATCCCTGGCGGCGCCCCTGAATGAAGTACATGCTTGTACATGGTTTTGGCTTTATGTTTCTACCAACCAGTGCTCCCTAACTATCTTTATTTGTGTTGTGTTTGTGTGTCCATAGAGGCAAGGCCACCTGCTTTGCATATGGCCAGACAGGTGCAGGGAAGACTCACACCATGCTCGGTTCCCCTGTGAGACCAGGGTTGTATGCTCTGGCAGTCCGGGACATTTTTGCTCACCTCTCCACCACACACATGAACTCTCCCTTGCTGGTGTATGTCAGTTTCTTTGAAATCTACTGTGGTCAGCTGTATGACTTGTTGGACCACAGAAAGAGGTGCGTGTTTGTATCAGTAAGCGTGTGTATGTGTCTTGTTGCGAATACAATTGGTTAAACGTTTTATGGAGTAGCTATAAAAAAAAGTAGCAATTGGTATAAAAAACAGATGAATAATACCCCATTTGTTCCATAGGCATGATTATTTTTTTGGTAATCCACCATCAAAATGAACCTCTTTAAGCTTGATTTTTCTTCTTTCTTGAGTTATTCTCCCTCTTAATCTCGTTCTTTTCTTTCTTTATTAGATTGTTTGCCAGAGAAGATGGACTTAAGGTGGTTCACATTGTTGGGCTGCGTGACGTCAGAGTGAACTCAGTCAGCTCACTGATGGAGGTTCGCCCTTTTCTTTCTGCTGTCCATGCTGTGTAGACAAGAGCTAGTCTTCTGGTTAACACATTGATGCAATGAGCAATTCCAAAATCAGAGATCTACCATTAAAAATAAACATCAATAGAAAAGTATAACAATATATTGTGAGGATTATTCCAATCTTAGGTCACGCTTACTTGAATATTACCTATCATTATGTTTTCTTTGTCTCTCTTTTTAATGATTTGTCCTCCTTTCTAAGGTGATTTCACAGGGAACAGAGGTGCGCACACAGGGGGTGAGTGGGGTGAATCCACTCTCCTCTCGCTCCCATGCCTTGCTTCAGATTCAGCTAAGGGATGCAAACCAGCAGATAGCTGGAAGGTGAGTGACAACATGTGCTTTTATCATATTGTAGGCTTATTATACTGTACACACTATCTGATTGTATTG